CTACCCAGAGGAGTCTCAGAGCAGCTTTCAAACTCCTTTCCCTTCCCCTCCCCACAACAGAAAACCTTTGAGGTCGGTGGGGCTGAGAGAGCTCTGAGAGAAGAAGAAGAAGAAGAAGAAGAAGAAGAAGAGATGGGATTTATGCCCTGCCCTTCACTACCCAGAGGAGTCTCAGAGCGGCTCACAATCTCCTTTCCCTTCCCCTCCCCACAACAGACACCCTGTGAGGTCGGTGGGGCTGAGAGAGCTCTGAGAGAAGAAGAAGAAGAAGAAGAAGAGATGGGATTTATAAACTGCTCTTCACTACCCAGAGGAGTCTCAGAGCAGCTTTCAAACTCCTTTCCCTTCCCCTCCCCACAACAGACACCCGGTGAGGTCGGTGGGGCTGAGAGAGCTCTGAGAGAAGAAGAAGAAGAAGAAGAAGAAGAAGAAGAAGAAGAAGAAGAAGAAGAAGAAGAAGAAGAAGAAGAAGAAGAAGAAGAAGAAGAAGAAGAAGAAGAAGAGGAGGAGGAGGAGGAGATTGGATTTATACCCCGCCCTTCACTACCCAAAGGTGTCTCAGAGCAGTTTACAAACTCCTTTCCCCTCCCCACAACAGGCACCCTGTGAGGTCGGTGGGGCTGAGAGAGCTCTTTGGAGCACTGCTCTTGAGAGAACAGCTCTGAGAGAACTTGTGACTGACTCAAGGAACTGGGGAATTCTTCCAGATTAGAGTCCGTACTCCTAAACACTATACCAAACTGGCTCATGAACACATGAGGCTGCCTTCTACCGAATCAGAACCTTTCTCCATCGAAGTCAGCCTATTCAGACTGGCAGGGACTTCCCAGGGTCTCAGGCAGAGGCTTTTCCCATCATTTGCTGCCAGATCTTTCAACTGGAGATGCTGGAGACTGAACCGGGGACCTTTTGCACCTCGAGCAGAGGCTCTTCCGCTGAGTCGCAGCCCGCTGAACTGGTTTTAGCCAGTTCTTCTCCCTTTCTCACCTTGGATATGAGGGTAAGCAGCCATATAGAGCAATGCCCAGTACAAGGTAATCGCTGTGGTATCTATTCCTGCCCCGAAGAGATCTAGCATGCTTTTAACCAGGTTGTGTTCATCATAGGTAGCTGCGGGGTCACCTGTGCTCTGAAGAGGAAACAAACCCTTGATTACAATCATGCAATATTTTGATGGCAATAGCAAGCCACCGTCACTTTTGCCTATAGTCTGTCCACGTTCAGTTCTGTAACATTCCATATGGAAGGCAACATTAAAATGTTTAAAGTACTGTAGGGAACAGGAGGCTGGCTTCAAGGGGCCCTTTATTTGGAGCTACTAGGAGCTGCGGTGGCTCAAGTGGTTAAGACGCTGAACTGCAGGCTGTGGAAGGTCGGTAGTTCAGCAGTTCGAGACCCGAGTGCGCCGCATGACGGAGTGAGCTCCCGTCTCTAGTTCCAGCTCCTGCCAACCTAGCAGTTCGAAAGCAAGAAATTGCAAGTAGATAAATAGGTACCACTTCGGTGGGAAGGTAACAGCGTTCCGTGAGCCTTGGTGTTTAGTCATGCCGGCCACATGACCACGGAAACGTCTTCGGACAGCGCTGGCTCTTCGGCTTTGAAACGGAGATGAGCACCGCATCCCTAGAGTCGGATTCGACTGGCTTTCGAGCAAAGCTATAGAGGGAACACTCTGTCTGGGGCAGTGACACTCTGAATTCTTGGGGGGGGGGAAGACGCCATCACCGATTGGAAAAGACCTCCCGCAAGAGAAACTGTAACAACAAGACTTCGCTATAGGGTGCCTGTTAGGTTAGTCACTTCCCTCCATCGTATGTATGTGGCCCTTGTAAGGTAAAGGTAAAGGTAAAGGTTCCCTTGCTCGAAAGCCAGTCAAGTCCGACTCTAGGGTTGCGGTGCTCATCTCCATTTCAAAGCTGAAGAGCCAGCGCTGTCTGAACACGTTTCCGTGGTCATGTGGCCGGCATGACTAAACACCGAGGCGCACGGAATGCTGTGACCTTCCCACTGAAGCGGGGGATTTTGCAATTTTTTGCTTTCAAACTGCTCGGTCGGCAGGAGCTGGGGCCAGAGACGGGAGCTCACTCCATCACACGGCACTCTGGTCTCAAACTGCTGAACTACAGACCTTCTGGTTTGCAGCTCAGCATCTTAACCTCTAAACCATCGTGGCCCATCATCATCATCATCATCATCATCATCATCATCATCATCATCATCATCATCATCATCATCATCATCATCTAATTAAATTAAATTTATGAATCGACCAACCCCATGAGGGCTCTGGGCAATTTACAACCTTAAAACCAGATAAAATAGAGCCAGCGTAATAAAATTATCACAAAGCACTAACAAAACAACCCGCTCAAATTGCGGTATCAGCCCCTTTTGCCGGCTGCGGTGCTCCCTGCGCAGCGGGGAAGGGAAGGGGACGTGGGGAGCACAGGAAGAAAAGGAGGGTGCCAGGCTTAACTGTTGCTGCCCTCCCCTGAATTCTCCCATTAGTAAATTCTCCCATTACCAAAAGACAGAGAGAGTGTGAGGAGGAGGAGGGGGGGAATTACTCTTTTCACCTACCTTTATTTTTTATTTTATTTTATTTCTTGGATTTATATCCCGCCCGACCCGAAGGCTCAGGGCGGCGAACAACGAGGCACAAGCGCCAACGTTAACACAGATAAAAACAGTACAAAACAATACAATACAAAACACTGAAGTGTCGGTGCTCTAGATGTCAGAGAATCAGTAGTTGCAAGACGGGGGTCTGGTCTGGTCTGGTCTGGTGGCCATTGTGCCACCACCGAGTTGCCATCTATGACGGTGGATTAGATCTATAAGTGAACCGGCCCTGGGAAGACGCCTAGGTGACCAAGAACTCATGTTGTCAGGCTAGGAGGTTGATAAATGGATCCCATCTTGGAGCGATAAGTTAACATCTAGAGCACCGCACTTTATTTATTGGTTGTTTTAATTGTTTGCTATGGCATTTGCCGCTGTTGGAAGCCCCCCTGAGCCCATCTGGGGAGAGTGGGATGCAAATCTAATAAATAAATAAATAAATAAATAAAAGTTATTAATTCCAGGCCAACAGCATACCTGGTCCCACCGGTGGACCTCCTGATGGCACTGGTATTTCTGGCCACTGTGTGACACAGAGTGTTGGACTGGATGGGCCTTTGGCCTGATCCAACATTGGCGTCTCTTATGTTCTTATAAGAGGGAATTGGATAAGCATATGGAGCAGAGGTCCATCAGTGGCTGTTAGGCACAAGGCGTAGATCGGAACTCTCGGTCTGGGGCAGGTGATGCTCTGTACCCTTGGTGCTTGGGGGGGGGGGCAACAGTGGGAGGTCTTCTGGTGTCCTGGGCCCACTGCTGGACCTCCTGATGGCACTGGTATTTCTGGCCACTGTGTGACACAGAGTGTTGGACTGGATTGGCCTTTGGCCTGATCCAAGATTGGCTTCTCTTATGTTCTTATAAGAGGGAATTGGATAAGCATATGTAGCAGAGGTCCATCAGTGGCTATTAGCCACAAGGTATAGATAGGGACTCTGGGGCAAGGGATGCTCTGTCTTCTTGGTGCTTGGGGGGGGGGTCAACAGTGGGAGGGCTTCTAATGTCCTGGCCCCACTGCTGGACCTCCTGATGGCACCTGGTATTTCTGGCCACTGAGTGACACAGAGTGTTGGACTGGATGGGCCTTTGGCCTGCTCCCACATTGGCATCTCTTATGTTCTTATGTTCTTACCTCCTAGCAGCACAACCTTCCCTTGGAATCCAAAATCATCCTGGCTTTCTGCTTATTGAAATGGAACGGGACGTGTCGTTTCTTTGGAGGAGATGCAGGTATCCACACCACCTGAACTGGCAATTGCTAGTGATGTTTTTGAAGTAGGATTTCAATGAGCAGGAGCTTGGTTGGGGAAACGGATTGATCTCTGTCTGATATTGGGTGAAGCCAGCAGTAAAAAATAATAGTGTGATGCAGGGGTGTCGAACTCATTTGTTATGAGGGCCAGGTTTGACATCAATTGGACTTTGTCACTCTGGGTCATGTGCAATGCTTCCTCTAAGCTGTGGAGTCTTGCGAGCAAACAATTCTACTTTGTGAGCAATGCTCCCTCTTAGCTGTGGAGTCCTGTGAGCAAAAATTCTGCTTTGTGAGCGACTGGCATTAAAGTTGTGAGCGAGCGATTTGGCTGCTGCATCAATTAGTTTGCTCTGGAGCCCTCCTTCCTGAGCTAAGACAAAAATCTGTGAGCCAGAGGCTAACAGTGAGCTAGCTCACACTAACTCAGCTTAGAGGGAACACTGTTTGTCAGCTACTGGCATTAGAGTTGTGAGTGAGCAGTTTGGCTACTGCATCAATTAGTTTGCTCCTGAGCTAGGACAAAAACTAACTCAGCTTAGAGGGAACACTGGCCAGGTGTGTCATAAAATGTAATGCCAGGTAGCAGAGATATAAACTTTACAAAGGACACAGAAAAACACCATTAAAGATATAATAGCAGCTATTCCATTAAAGCCCCACATTAGGAGGGTGGGTGCTAAAACTAATATTTCTCTGCAAAACTGGAGTCCCTTGAGTTTGCAGAAGTCTGTATTTTAACCCTGGCTGGTCCAAAACCTTCCCCCACCCCAAAATATGAACTACAAATATAAGTGGTCTGAGCCTAGGAACCAGGAGAAGAACATGAAATGGCTGAGCATTGCAAGCTCCCCCACCCCCCCCCAGTCTACTTAGTGGCAGTGACTCTCCAGGGTCTCAGGTGTTTTTTTTTTACACAGGGTGGTTTGAGATAATAATTTTGGGTGTCCTCTTCAGCACTTGTTCTGCTATTATTCCATTGGAGCTCGACATTATGAGCGTGTGTGTGTTGAAACTCGTATCTCTACGTAAAACTGGAGCCCCTTGAGTTTGCAGAACTCTATATTTTAATCCTGGATGGTCCCACCCCCACCCCCATGCCTTTAAAATGTGTCTGCCTAAACTGAAAAGGTGGGGGGAATAGTAGGATTTTGCAAAGTCCGTTTTAAAATAAAAAGAAGCACAAGGATCACAGCAGAAGGACCCCGCCCCCCGCCCCAGCTCCTACCTGTGAGGAGGACTATGGAGACCGGGGGTGGTGGCTGGGAATTTTGGCAGCCCCGCCCTCTGCTTCTTGCTCTCAGAGGCAGCCCCACCCTCTGCTCTCTATACTCCGAGGCAGTTCGAGCTGAGAACAGTGAGGATGGGCAGGGGAGGAGGGAGAGAAGAGAGCCCCACTCCTGGTCTGTATTAAAGGCCTGGGCGGGCTGGTTCTGGCCCGCGGGCCATCGGTTTGACGCCATTGTTGTAACATGTTCAGTGAAACTGACCATGATTTGCAAGCTATTCCATTGTTCGTGCCCGTCGTGAGGTATAAAGGCTAATAATAATAATAACAACAACAACAACAACAACAACAAAAGAAGAAGAAGATATTGGATTTATACCCCGCCCTTCACCACCCAAAGGTGTCTCAGAGTGGCTTACAAACTCCTTCCCCTTCCCCTCCCCACACCAGACACCCTGTGAGGTCGGTGGGGCTGAGACAGCTCTTGACAGAAACTGCTCTTTTTCAAGAATAATGATAATAATAAATGGACAGCATGGTGGAGCATTAGACCAATGTTCTTAATGCAGCACACATTAGCTGATGTCTGCTCAAGGGTGCAGGAGTTTCCAGCTGGTCTACAGGTTCGTGTAGAGTCACCACTCACCTGGACTATTTGATTCAGGTAGAAGTCTGTGAAATCTTGTGGATCACCTGGGCTCATGTTCTTCTTGTGGTTTCTAACCTCTTCCCGTGCGAAAGCCCTAGCAGTCTTGGCAGCACGGGCAGGTTTTCTCGGAGGTCCTACCAGACGACGGATCCATTTTGGAGTGATGAAATATAGCTGACAGAGAGAAGAAGCCAATTGTGGAAACGTTAGCCTGTGTTAGCCTTTGTGTACAGTTCTGGTCACCACACCTCAAAAAGGATAATATAGCATTGGGAAAAGGGCAGAAAAGGGCAACTAGAACGATAAAAGGGTTGGAACACTTTCCCCTATGAAGAAAGGTTCAAGCGCTTGGGGCTCTATAGCTTGGAGAAACGATGGCTGTGGGGTGACATGATCGAGGTTTACAAGGTTATGCCTGGGATAGAGCAGGTAGAGAAAGAAGTCCTTTTCTCCCTTTCTCACAATACAAGAACTCGTGGACACTCAATGAAATTGCTGAGCAGTCGGGTTAGAACAGATAAAAGGAAGTCCTTCTTCACCCAAAGAGTGATTAAAACATGGAATTCACTGCCACAGGAGGGGGTGGCGGCGACAAGCATGGATGGCTTCAAGAGGGAATTAGATAAGCATATGGAGCAGAAGTCCATCTGTGGCTATTAGCCACAAGGTATAGATAGGGACTCTCAGGCTGGGGCAAGGGATGCTCTGTATTCCTGGTGCTTGTGGGGGGGGCAGCAGTGGGAGTGTCTTCCTCCATGAAGAGATTTGGAATTTCTAGAAAAGATGATCAGAAAATTGGTGCTTGTGGGGGGGGCAGCAGTGGGAGTGTCTTCCTCCATGAAGGGATTTGGAATTTCTAGAAAAGATGATCAGAAAATTGGTATCAAAAACTTACAAGGTGAAAGGGACTCGCAACATATTGTATTACAATATCAAGGGAATGGAACATCTCGTGGAACTTTTTATCTCCAAGGGGAAAGCTGTGCCCCAAAATCACTGTGCAGATCACATTTGAAACTGAATGCAAGAGGTGTTCCCAAGGATCCAGAGGCTTACCTGAAAACACAGATATTGGCATCGTAAGTTCAATGGAAAACTGATGTGAAGATGGAGTGAAAGCTTCTTACAGCTTCTCTATGAGTGTGCATTTGAATACATCTCAGCAGAAACGAAACCCAAAATAGCATTTGGGGTCAGCTCAGGGATATCTGAAAGAACTCATAACTCTCCCAGAATTCTGGGAGTAATAAAAATCTATGTCCCAAAATTTCAGGAATGTTTCAGTTTTTGGGGACATGCAGGAGTGGGGAGGGAAAGAAAGGAAGTTGAAAAACAGTTTAGTATAAATGGCTGGGAGCCTGCTTTCTGCTCCCTGCAGAAAGCCACAGGGAGCAGAAAGCAGGGGTTTAAATGGCTCCAAGCTTTTGGTGGAGAGCAGAAAGCCAGGGGTGAAATGGTTAGCAGTCATCTAAACCCCTGCTTTCCGTTCCCTGAGGCTTTTTGCGGGGAGCAGAAAGCAGAGGTTTAAACTTTGAATGGCTCACGAACCCAAATGAACCGGTTCAGTTCACGAACCAACCTCACAGTTCATACCAGTTTGTGGTTCGATTCGTGGTTCAGCCACAAACTGAATCGAACCGCAAAAATGCAGTTCATACCCATCCCTAGTCATCACAGCTCTGATCCATTGCTCCAGTGGACAATACATTTAACCAACAGATAACCTCCAATTAAAAGTTAATGCAAAAACATGATCCTGGATTCATACTGTAAACAACTCTAACCATGACAGAACACAGTTATCCAGAGATACTTCTAGGATCACAATATTTCTGACCTTTCTGAAGTGCAAAGAACTCTGACAGTTGAGAGGCTTGCTCTTGTACTTGGAACTCTATTAGGCTCTTTCCCACACCCAGTTTCCTCATGGTGGCTAACGCAAAATGCCTCTGCTGCTTCCACGTGGGACCATTGGAAAATATAATGCCTGTAAATGGGATTGGAATAAATGGGAAAGTAATAAAGGAATATTAGATGGGGTTGGAGAAGATCTGGTGAAGAATATGAAATGCATGGGCCACTTTGTAGTATGAATGGGAATATAAAGATTTTTTTCCCCCTGATTATATTCATATTTTTCTGGTTTTATAGATTTTTCTCTTAAGTAAGATTTTATTAGGATGTGATGAAAGCCTACTAAACAGAAGGACTTTCTCTCGTAGGTTAGATTATTTTTCTAGCTGATGCGAGCAGACAAGAAAACAACATTCTTTTGCCATAGAAGATAGGTATAGAGTTCATGGTTGTTAGTTGTTTAAGGTAAAACTTTGCAGTGTCTCGGTCAAAAAGGATTTTAGCTTCATATCAGAGAGAAACACCTTTGTTTGGGTATGAGGAATCCTTGGCTAATATTAATCAGTTTGGGTCAAATAAACATTTTAAGATATTATGTAGGCACACCTTTCTTCATATTTGACCAATGAGTGGACGATTACTCAAATGATGCACTGTCCTTTGTAACCAATTATGCTTTTTCAATGTTATCTTCATGACTATGTCATTTCAAGTATAACATTTCATGTACTTCCTGATTGTGTTCAGAAAGCAGTCAATTTTTGATAGGCTAAGTTTGGCCTAACTGTTTTCAGGTGTTTTAATTGCAATTAAAGTCTATGAACCTTCCTCCTAATTTTTACTTCTTTTTTTCTGGGAATCTATTTGTATAAGAACTTTGAAACTTGGCCACCAAGTTCCTTCAAGTCTTCCAATAGCCCCACTGCTGGACCTCCTGATGGCCCCTGGTATTTCTGGCCACTGTGTGATACAAAGTGTTGGACTGGAGGGGCCTTTGGCCTGATCCAACATTGACATCTCTTATGTTCTTGTGTTCTTATGTAATAGGGCTGAAGAGAGGGAAGCCAAAGTTCCTTCTGGAAGGTTCCTCCAAACTCCTTTTTTTCAAATTTCAAGCAGGGGACCCATAGCAGGTTGACAGAGGGTATCAGAGGAGAGCGATAATTTCAGAGGATAGCTATGTTGGACTGCAGCAGAACAGCTAGATTTGAGGCCATCAGCACTTTAGAGACCAACAAGATTTCCCAGGGTATATGTTTGTGAGAATCAGTGTGTGCTGCCCCCAGCCTGCGTTTAACTGTAGTTAAGTAGAACTGCCATATATCTTTAAGAGCAGTTGCCCCTGGGAACTGAAGTCTTTAGCTAGACATCCCAAAGCATCCCTGTGACTGTCTGATTAACAGTGGCCCCGGTCACACGGGCAGGAAACTGCGGGGGAGAAGCGTGGCTGTTTGCCCTGGGGCAAACTACTGCGCAGTTACTTGATCAGACCTCCCGTGGAGGTCCTGTGGAGGTACCGTGGAGGTTCCATGGCAAGGGAGAGGTGCTGATCACAGGACAAGAAGCGCGCGCCGCGGCAAACTGTTTTGTTTTTGTGTGTACACGACGAATGCGCATGCTCCGTTGGGTGCGTGTGCGCATCCACAGAGACGTGGACAAAAACCCCCCACCTTATTTGCAAGGGGACATGGGCGGGCGCCGGATGCCACCGGAAATGCGATCAGACACCCGCCCTTGCCCCGCAGTTTCCGGAAACTAGTACCTCCGAGGTACTAGTTTTTTGCCACGCAGTTTCGGCTGGAAGCCTTGGTTGTGCCACGGGAGTGCTACGCTTCCCAGATGTGCTGGTGAGATCGCGCCCGGAAACTCTGCCTGTTTTCCGTCTCACTTGTGTGGCTTCTGTTCCGTGTGACAGCAGCCAGTCATTTCCTGCACCCAGAGGCGCGAGGATTTGAGTTTACAGCTTTCTTCCCGTTTCTTTGTCTACTCTTTAAACGGCAAAGGAGGTGGGAGCACGCAAGCTTTTTCACCATGAGCCAGTAACCTGAATTAGATTATAAAGATGTGAACTTCACCAGTTATTCAGTCTCGATTGTAAGCAAAGAAATCTTCTGAATGCATGTGGAGGAGCTTAATAAAAATGATTTAATTCTACTTTACTCTGGCCGTGCGTTGATTCACATCCAGAAGGCGCTGTTGACTCTTGACTTAGCGCCAGACGGAACACAGTTCTCCCTTCATCAGATACAAGTGGGAATGGAGATCCTAGAGTTTTTATCTCCTAGCCTGCAGGTGGGAAGGGCGTTGCAAAGAAAGAGTCAGGATGCAGAGGTACAATGCAGAAACAGGCCCGCAGCCAAGAATTTCTAAGTCGGGGGGGGGCATTTAAATTCCTCGGGGGGCACTGGCTAATTCAATGAAATGTAATCGGTGCGGTGCAGGGGAGAAAGGTGCGGCACAGGGGGAAGGCAAGGAGAAGCAGCGGCCAGGGCAGCGGGGGGGAGTTCATGACAGCCGCTGCATTTTCACACGGGCCAAAAAGGAAATTGTGGGGCCTTGGTAGGAAGTTGAAGGGCCAGGCCCCGACAAGCCCCACTGTAGCTACGGGCCTGTGCAGAAAGCAATCCGCTTGATTAGAGTAGGGGAGAAAAGCTTAAGGGCAGAAAAGCTCTCCTTGTTAGCAAAATGGCAACTCTAAACAATTCCTCCAGCATGCACACAGAGATGGGAAATATCCTAGTTCAACCCTGCCAACCATTGGAGCGGATGCGGGCTAGTAAACTGAAGCTGAAGCCTGACAAAACCAAAGTACTACTGGTGAAGATAAGTTCTGACCAAGGGCTTAAGGTGTCACTGATTCTGGATGGGGTGGCACAGCCCTTGAAGGCCTGTCTTTTGGGGGTACTGCTGGATATAGAATCATAGAATCATAGAATGTTAGAGTTGGAAGGGACCTTGCAGGTCATCTAGTCCAACCCCCTGCACTCTGCAGGAGTATAATGAAAGAGAGCCCTACATACCTACAACATACCCAAAAGATGGTCATCCAGCCTCCGTTTGAAAACGTCCAGCGAAGGAGCATCCACCACCTCCTGAGGCAGACTGTTCCACTGCTCAACCACAGAAGAATAAGATACCCACCTTCCTTCATCGTTGACAGCTGCTCCCCCCTCCCAGCTGGGGACTGGCAAGGAAGGTGGGTATCTTATTCTCAGGGGTCATTTCGTAGAAAAAGAGGTGCAGGAGCTCATTAGCATAACTCATTAGCATAACTCATTTGCATATACCACACCCCCTGAAATCGCCGGAAGTGTGTCAGAAGGCAACACCCACCGCTCAGGTGCCACTGGACTGTTTTGGATTGTCAGCTATTGGGGGGGGGGGAACGTTCATGTCCTCACAGAGGAGGGAGAGCTTGTACCTGAATAAAACTTGTACCTGAATAAAACTTGGTCTTAAAGGTGCCACTGGACTGTTTTGGACCGGGGGGGCAGGGGGGCTATGCAAGTTACCTGGCTGTTTCTTGCTCTGACTGAGGGCTGCTGGGAGCAGGGGGTGGGGCTTGTTGCATGTGGGCTCTTTACTGCCGGAGCTCCGCTCCTGTGCGCTCCCACAGGAAATGACCCCTGCTTATTCTTCTAGGACAAAGAAGAAAAAAGGGGGAAAAGACTGAACCTAAACCTAGGATTCAGAACCATATTTGTATATGAGGTAGGAATGGGCCCTTGTTTGTTATTTTAATTTATGTTGAATAAATACATGTATATTTTTGTATGTTTTATAATTAGATTTTTAGAGTTGGCTCTCTTCTATTCTTGACTAACCTTTTTAGGTTCTGTATCTTATTCTTCTAACCACTCATACAGTTAGGAGG